ATTCTTACCTTTTATTTTTAAAGTAATTTGTTCTTTCATAAAAAATTTTTATTATTTTTTAACAAGTATATACTCTTTACGTGACAAAAAAAGCAAAAAATATATCTCACAAACATATGGGTTAAATCCAAAAATGATGACTCCAAGTTATTGAGCCTAATTTCAGACGGATAAGCCGGTTTAGGCTTGACCCAATTTGCCTTTTGCCCTTTTAATTTTTTGCCCTTCCTTATAATCCCTAGACTATACCTAACATAAAGTTGTTTTTGAAAACCCTATCTCATTCTCATCCTTTCCTCTTATCTGTACTGGTAACGTCCCTTTTTTCTTAAAACCCTCATGCTATAGCTTTCCACCCTCTTTGCCATTAATCAAATGCCTACCAAACACTTAAGAAATGTTCTTCATCTTTCTTACAGTTTCACCAATTATTTTCCTAAGAAACCCTTTGAAATCTTAGATCTAAACTCATTTTCCCTACTATCATTGTCATCACGAAAATCTTTGATTTCCAATTAAAATACCTAAAAACATCTTATAGCCATTTCTCTATCCTATATTTCCTAAATTGCCTTATCGAAAAGCTAAAAACTCCTATCTTTTTCTTTAGTAATTTCTCTCTCTTATCTTTGTTGGTATTATGTTACTTGTTGCCATATATACTTATTTGTTTAGATTTTTTTTTACTTCGGAATAATTTATCTCTCTTATCTTTTTTTTTATTGCGTTACTTATTACTATATATACTTTTTTATTTAGATTTTTTTTTTTTTACTTCTGTGTGATTGTAATATAATTTTTTGGAAAATTTTGTGTTTATTGGAATTTTTCATTGTCTGGTGGTTTATGATGAGTTAGGAGAGATTTCTTATTTTAAAAATTGAATATTACTAAAAATTTCAGATTTGTTGGTGTTTATTTTTATTTCTATGTTGCGTTTTTTTATGGAAGATATGATTTTAAAAAATTCACTTTTGAAAAAAAATTTTAGATGTTTTTATATCTATGTTGTGTTCTTTTTTCAGGAAAATGAATCGTTTGAAAATTATTCTTGAATCTTTAGAAAAATCATATTTTAAATATAAACTTTTTGGGAAAAAAGCTGAAAGTGATAAAAAAAAAAATTAAAGCTTTAATTGAGTGACATGTGTCAGCCTGTATTTTAGTTGGGATATTAATTTTTATAAGTTTTTATATATTATATAGATATATTAAGGTTTCATGCAACGAAATTAAAAATAATTATTGTTATTATTATATTTTCGATTGAAAAAAATTTTAATAAAAAATTTATATTAATTTAATTTAATTTAAGTTGATGTTTGAATTTAATTAAAAGTATGATGATTTTAATTATATTGTACTTAAAATATGATAAGATTCAAACGACTACTAAGCAAGTTAAAAAAATAAAAATCACCAAAGTATAGAAAAAAAGTAGCATATGTAAAAGTAGAACATAGTGAAAATATATCTCAGCCTCGCCCAATAACTCTTCCCCACCAACTGATTTGTTCAAGCATTGCAAGAATAAGCAACCATCAAATTTCAATTGCATTTGATTGATTTGATCCAAAATCACCACTCACTGAAAGTATAAATGATGGGAAACTAGTAATATTCAATAACAATACCAAGGCTCGATCACTGAAACTAGTATTATTCAGACGAAGTATTCTCTATATAGAGATTATTCAACCATTGACGGAGTTCAGCTTCAACAAAGGAGAAACAAAACTAAAATCCACAGCTGACATTCCATTTCACGGTAACAAATGGGGAATGAACTTAGGCACCCAACATGGATCCTGAGTTCTTCCTGCACTCAAACAGCATATCCATGTAGAACTGACACTTGCTGATTTTGTTTCCATTGCTGCTCAGGCACTACTCGAAACACAAGAACAATAAAATATCAGTACAGTAATGTTGCTAGAAGTTCTAAAAGAGACATTAATGTTGCTAGAGGTTCCAAAAGAGTTATGCATCATTCAATACAAAACATGAAGCATAGGAAATGTCGGCATCTACCAGAAGTGTAAAAACTCAGAATCAAAAGCGTGATTTAGTTAAGAAACCAGGGTCATATCTGATTCATTCCAAATCAAGTAGAAGATATATAGGCAAACTGTAAATCCAGAAAGCACAATTAAACAGCTGCTAGAATCTAGGAATAATGCTTTCAATTCAAAGTTCCAGTCAGCCACAGCACGAAAAACTTTACCAACATTTTAACAAACTACTCGACTATCAAGTAACCGAACAACAGAAAGTGAAGTTCACATACATCTTGGAAAGCCTTGGACTGGATGCTGCATGCATTAGAGCCGGCAAAACTATTAGTGGTGGCCGCATGTGCAGGGGCAGCTACAGCCTCAGAAACCACAGTTTCATGTTGAATGGTCCGAGGACCCAGCACAGCATCAACAGCCCTGTGAGCAATAGCGCTTCCAGTGCCAAAAGTCATGCCTGTAATGCAAAGATAAAGAAAAGAATTAACAAGAATCAGAATAATGTATCATGACAAAGCAACCGTATATATATATATATATATATATATATATATAAAGCCAACTCAGATGGATATCTATGCACAAGCATACCCTCTGCTATGATAGAGCCTATGCCTCCAAGCATATGGATCTACCACTTCCACTCTGGGCAGGAGCTGGAGGAGAAGCATGTTGAGCTGCAGCAAAAGGTTTAAATAGAATTAAACACGACATTCAATCGACCAACAAAATCCAATTTAAATCAACAACCATCATATCAAAACAACAAATATCAAGGTTAATCAAGTGAAACTATTATCTAACGTGCTACGTGAATATAAAAACTTGAGTGGTTCCTGGTTGAGGTGGCCGGCTGGGTGCAGAAAACAGATAGAAAAACAGTTACTGGTTGAGAGAAAAAGGCATACAGAAGAGATTTGAAGGCTAAAAAGGGGTTTAAAGGCGTGAAAATAGCTTTAGGAATCGGAGAAATTTTTTGAAGATTTTTTTGTGATTTTTTTTTTCTGAAAATTTTTGAAAAATTTCCAGATTCCGATGAATTTTTCGGTGAATGTTGAATTTTCCGACGAAAATTCCTGCCACGTTTGAAGTTTCCGGCAGCATTTCCAAAAATCGATCAGTTTTTCGATGAACGTCCGGCGAAAAACTCAGATTCTGGTGAAAATTTCTAAAATCCGATAATATTCAACCGGAGTTCTTCGGGTGTTCTAGAGAGAGGGAGAGAAAAGGAAGGAAAAGAGAGAGGAAGGAAGTTCAGTCTGCTGAAAAAACGAAGGATTCAGCCTTATATACCCTCTCAAAACGATGTCGTTTTTATATTAAATAACCCAGAGGATCCGCGCGTTTTGCTAAGATCTGATCCGACCCGAGCGTCGACCCACTTTTCGACCCATGCGTGATCTGTCTCCCCGAGCCATTAGCCGAGTCGAGCTGACATTTTGAACCGCGTTCTCCGAGCCGTTTTTCTTCCTTAAGTCGAGTCGAGCCGTTAGCCGAGTCGCTCCAGGTTTTTTTTTTTAAATTTATTTATTTATTTATTTATTATTAGATTATGTTTATTTAATATTCTTTTATCTTTATTTTATTTTTATTTTTGTTTTACTTTTCTTTTTTTTATTATTATTATTATTTTTTTCTTTTCACTTTTATTTTGTTTTATTATTTTATTTTCTTTAAATAAAATCCAAAAAAAAATTTTTGGAAAAAGTTGAAAGTATCAATTTTCTTCGATATTAAAGTTTCCAAAAAATATTTTTGGAGAAAAGTTGAAAGTATTAATTTTTTTTAAAAATAAATTTTTAAAACGGTTTTTGAGGAAAAGTTGAAAGTATCAATTTTCCTTAAAAATAAATTTTTAAAACTATTTTTGAGAAAAAATTGAAAGTATCAATTTTCCTCGAAATTAAGGTTTCCAAAAAAAATATTTTTGGAGAAAAGTTGAAAGTATCAATTTTTCTTAAAAATAAATTTTCAAAAAAAGTTTTTGAGAAAAAGTTGAAAGTATCAATTTTTCTCGAAATTAAAGTTTCAAAAGATATTTTGGGAAAAAGTTAAAAGTATCGGATTTTTCTCGAGATTAAAATTTCTATAAAATATTTTGAGAAAAGTTGAAAGTATCAATTTTTTCTACACAAAAACAATCATTCTTTTCTTCCTTTTTGTTTTTTTTTTAAATTTTTTTAATATTAAACAATCCGACGATGGAGCCTCTGTAAGTGAAACAGTAATTTTCTTGCATACTCTTGAGGTGAGAGAATTTTTTCAATTTTCTACTAAAAGTATTAGAGTCAATTGAGAATAATTTTCAATAATTAATCACTTAGTAAATTTTTAAGGCTCATTGGATAATACAAATTTAAGTTGGTACTATCTTTTGATGGGCATTGTGAGGGTGCTATAACCTTAACTGAACTCCCGAACCTTGTTCTGGTTAGTAAACTCGAACCTATCCTTTTAGAGACCCTTAAACTTAGGTGTTCCCTGAAAGTGCAGATTCCTTATGTGATCAATTGCACCTAGATAAAAAAGATTGGTGGCGACTCCTAAAGGTCAATGTCTAGCGATAGATATCCAGATCTAGACGTTATGACAGCTTGACGACTCCACTGGATGAGAAACAGACCTGCCTATAAAATAAAAAAGGAAAAAATATGTAAACACAACTGAAATTCCAAAAACACCCAAGGACATGACACAACTCTAATTAAAACATATAGCATAGAAATTACTTGTATCAAATAAAAATGTTTCAATAAAATAAAATAATCAGACCTGTTTTAAAAACTCAAGAAAATCTTCAAAAATATTAAAATCAAAACAATCCCGAAAATTAAATCAGAACAAAAAAGACTAAATCGATAAATAAAAACGAATCCTATAGCTACAAGGTAAAAATAAAAATAAATATTTTGAGTAAAGGAAAGAGATGAGATTAGAAACTAACCAGAGTTTCGGCAAGTCATGTTGGATGTTATCTGCAAAGTTGGATTTCAGCGATTTTTCTAGAGACAGAAACGACTGGAAAGGCTACCACCCGGGAAAAAGGGCAAATTAAGCAAGCCACCTCAGGTCATTGTTGTAATTTAGGTTACCAAACATGTCTTCTGTATGCCTATATAAGAGGTCCAAACATCTTAACATTCCTATACCAAGTCTCCAATAATAACCCGCTCTGCAGATTTTAGAGAGAAATTTGATTCTTTACCTCTCTAAAGGGTCTAGCTTTAGCCTTCAATATATAGAGAGAGAGTGAGAGAGGGAGGGAGACATTTTTAATCATGGGTGGTGGGAAGAGATTTGCTGTGCTTCTGTGCGCTGAGGATTCTGATTATCTTAAAAAGACGTATGGAGGGTATTTTGGGGTACTTGTGGGGATGCTGGCGGAGGAAGGGGAGACTTGGGATGTTTTCAAGGTGGCCAGTGGTGAGTTCCCTGATGATGAAGAGATTAGCGACTTTGATGGCTTTGTTATAAGTGGGAGTACCAGTGATGCACATAGCAATGACGCTTGGATCTGTAGGTTGATTGCTCTTTTGAACAAGTTGGATTCTTTGAAGAAAAAAGTTCTTGGGATTTGCTTTGGTCACCAGGTAAATTTTTCTCTTTTTCTTTTTTAACTTCCACTACTAGCACTTGGTTCTTGTTAACTTTCCATTTTAACATTTTAATATTAATTTCCTTTGTCATTTTCCAAATAAGAGGGATGTATTTGGTTTTTTTTTTTAAATGAAAAAAAAAATAGAAAGTTGTTCTCCAAGTTTTTTATTACTATGATTTAGCTAGAAGTTTCCAACCAAAATCTTAAATGGTATTAAATTTATTAATTTTAAACACTATATAAAACTATAAATTAAATTGAATTTGATATGATTTAAAATTTTTATAAAAATTATATATTTTTGATAAAATAAAAAATATATATTTATTTTTTAATATATCAATATAAATTATAATATTATAATATTAATATTTTATATATATTTAATAAATAAGACATGGATATATAAATTAGAATATATAAATTATCAAGATTATTGAAATAATGAGGTAAAAAATGTACAACATGAGAGAGAAAAAATTAAAATTAAAATTAAATTAAAATTTGTACTTGCAGAAAATCTTAGTTGGAAATGAGTTAAGTCGAAATTATGGTTAAAAAATGAAATAGTGGTTTCTTTCTTTCTTTTTTTTTTTTTTTTGTCAATTTTGATGGCAGACATAGATAGAAAGCGGGAGCTATCCAAGTGTTTGATAAACTCTATTTACGCATTGCCAACGTCCGTTGGATTAAACGATAAGGAGCTCAATTTTTTTAAAGTAAAATTTTGATTTTAAATTTTATTAATAAAAAAAGTAAATTTGAAAAAACTTATTATTTTTACTAAATTCGATTTAATTTAATTTTAAATTAATTAAATTTTAAAATAATTATCAAATATCGAGAGATCATAAAAAAAAAAATTCTATTTACGCATTACTCAAAGTTTACGGTATTTTGTGGCTCCCCAGCTAGTACAGGAACTTAGATGTGAGTGGTCCAACAACCGTACCTCTTTAACTGAGATGCCAAAAGTATTATAGTTGTCGTAGTAGTATGATTTTTATTAAAAACAGGCACGCTTTTGGTTGGATCTGCAACCAAATTCTGGCCTCTGATTGTGGTCCAAAACTTGTCCCCATTCTACCTCAACTTTTGTCTGCGGACATATACACTCCTTTGAATTTGGAGGTTTTAATGATCAACAATTTGGACCCCTTATCTTTTATACTAAATGCCATCTGCTGCTCTTCTTTTAACCAAGTTCAGTTATGTTCCTAGCCATTTATGTAATTTTACTTGTGAAAATCGTGTATGTATATAGATATGTTCGTGTCTATAGGAAGTGACCATAAGAGGTGGTTTCCATTGGATGTTGTTATGAAATGGAAAGAAGAGACTGTATTGAATTGCATGTTTTACAAAGATAAAAAAGCTAAAATCAAGTGTTTGCTTATGCAACAAAAAGTTTTTTCTTTTTTGTTATTTAATCAGATTATTAGTCGTGCACTGGGAGGAAAGACAGGGCGTGCCATCTCAGGTTGGAACATTGGATTGACAGCCGTTCATTTGTCATCATCCTCATCGAAGCTCTTCTCATCTCTGAAAATCCCAACCACTCTTTCTTTGATCGAGTGCCACCAAGATGAGGTTGGTCTATTTTGAAAATGAACTGGTAACTTACTAACCAAACCGTAGGAAGGAGAAATCGATAATTTTTTTCATATGTATTGTTTTAAACATGTTTTAACATGCCAGGTTCAAGAACTTCCACCAAAAGCAGAGTTGATCGCATGGTCAGAGAAGACTGGGGTTGAGATGTTCATATATGGGGATCATATGATGGGCATCCAAGGCCACCCCGAGTTCAACAAAGACCTTCTGCTTCATCTGATCGACCATCTCATGCAGTGCAGTTTTCTTGCGGTACATCCACCATCTGATCAATTCGAAGCTCCTTGTATAAGTCTTACTAATGGTTTAACGGTTTGACGCGTTTTATATCAAATGCAGGAATCATATGCTGATGAGTTGAAGGCAAACCTGGGGAAAGTGAAGCCTGATAAGGATGCATGGAAGAAACTGTGCACCAGCTTCCTCAAGGGTAGGCTATGATGTTTCAGAAGTTTTGGAAAATGTCCGAAAGAAAAAGAAATAGTAAATATGAACCCTTTTTTGAGAAGCAAGTTGAAATTGAAGGAAGTTTAGGGAGGTTTGTGATAGCACAAATATATGCAAATAAAAAACACAGCTGAATTAAGAATGTAAAAGCTGTAATTAGGTTGGAATTTGATGTGGTCTTCTCCGGTTTAATAAATTTTGCAGAATTTTAATAATTCCATATTCCATTTTAAATTTAAGCCCTGGATAAACTTAAAGATGGCACCAGCTCTCTTATCCTTGAAATTATTTTAATATAAAACAATAGATAAAAAAAATTACTACTATTAATATATAACAAAATAAATTTGAGTGCTGCTAAGAGCATTTAAACCTTTTCTTTTCACATCCTAGTTTTTTTTTTAATTTTTTGTAAATAAAATTATTTAATTATCTTTTCTCTTTCACACAATTTCTAAAAATGAATTTTTGAAAAATTTTAAACCTTTTCATAAATCCATTTTTAGAAAGTTATATAACTTTTCAAAATTTTATTTTTTAAAAATAAATTTTTGAAAAATTATGTAATTTTTTGAAAAATTATGTAATTTTTTGAAAAATTATAAATCTTTCAAAAAATATTTATATTTTTTCAAAAATCTATTTTCAAAAATGTTTATAACTTTTAATAAATTCATTTTTGAAAAATTATGATTTTTTGAAAATTCATTTTCAAAAAATTATAAAAAAATTTAAATAATTTTACTTATAAAAAATTTTAAAAAATTAATGTATGAAAGAAAAAAATAGAGGTGCATTTAGCAGCTCTAAATAAACTTCTATGCATCACATACTTAACCTTGAAAAGGCAAGGAACTCAAAAAATTGGTAGGAGAGTATTTTATTCTAAGAACTGCACACGCAATAGACAACGGAGGCATGTTGCAATGGTTGCTCATTCCTTAATAAATGCTTGAATTAAAAAAGGAGAAAATCCTTCAAGTTGGAAAGTACACACAGTAGTTATAGTAATGACAATTGCACTACACTGGAGATGATTGATGGGTTCCACCCAAAAAAAAGTGGAATTTTTTTTTTTAATGAGGAAATGTGGAATTTTTAATTCCTTACTGATTTGGTGTTTTTTCTTTTCTTGACCCTCTCAAAAACTAGCATTTGAATTCCTCCTATGCACGCGTTTTATCTTCTTATATATTATATATTGTATTTTATTTTAAAGAAGCCGTTGTTCAACAATCAATTAAACATATTCAATGGTTTTTGTATTTAAAATAATAATTTGTCATTAAGGCCTGATGAGCTTTTCCGCGTCAAAATTTTGTATTTTATAACTCAATTTTGGATTTGATTTGAACGCGTAGTTAGAATGAAAGCTTTCAATTTCAAATTTACATTTTATAACCAAACTTTTTGTCTGATTTGAATGTATAGTGAGAACCCTACTGTCACATTAAAATTTACATTATAACTCCTAAGAAGGATCCCACACGCAGGCTTTAGAATCAACAATAATTTAAGCCAGAATACATGGATGTCTGACTACTAAAAGTATTATTGTGGATTTGTAGTTACATTTGAAATTGCAAAATTTTAGTAATTATTTGAGGCTTTATTGCTAACTTATTTGATATTGGGGCTTAGAGTAATTGCAGAGATTTTTTATGATCTAGAGATAATATATATTGAAAAATTTACTCGATTACACTCAGGATCATAATTTTTATCTTAAAATAATATTAATTATTTGAATTTAATTATACTTATTTCTTTATTTATGTGTGAAAATATAAAAAACTGTCAATTACAATATTTAAAAAATTTTTGTTTTAAGATTTTTTTTAGAACTAATTTATTATTCAATTTAATTTAATAAACAATAAGCAAATTGATATGTTTTAAAAGGAGTTATAAAAAATATTTTCTTTCTTTTTTTTTTTGTTAGAGATTTTTAATTTTTTAGTATTTTCTCTTTAAAAAGAACATAAAAAAAAAGATAAAAGGACTCATTTAATTAGACCATCATTTAACCAAAAATATTATATGAATAATTACGTTTATATATATATATATAAAGACATCATTTTGATCTTTAAATAAAAAGTAAATATATTTGTAAAGACCTAATTGTTTGACAAATGTCAAGCGATGAGGCCATCATTTAATTTCAATAAATAGTAAAAATTAAAAGATTACTTTTAATTATAGTCCAGTGGTTGATTCTTTCATTTCGCACTAGGTAACCTTTTTTAATTATTGATAAAATATATTAAATTTTTACTAATAATCTACAAAATATATGAAAGCAATCCCCCAACTTTAATTTTTTGGCCACGTAAAGAATGTCATTAAAAGTAATTTGAGGGTAGATTTAGGCATTAACAATCTTTACTTTAATTTTCACTTTTTCACCGTTTCACAAATTAAGCCCCATAAATTTCTAGAGGTAGAAAGCAAAAGGAAGGTTGCTGCGGCTACTGTAGTATACCTTTGTTATAAGAAGTGGTCATGACTAATGGTTGCTGGTGGAAGACTAATGAGGAGAGAGACAAGCAGAGGTGAGGATTTTATTATAGTTATTAATGTGAGTTCAATTTTTCGATCAGTGGAATAGTTTTGTTTGGATTTTCAATTTTGTGTCTATAAAAGATGAATGAGAAAAGGGAAAGAAAAAAGAGATAGAGGAAAAGGACTGATAGCAAGCTAAGTCGTTGATAAAAAAAAGCTAAAAAAGAGCTTTGTTGCCAAACTTTGCCTTGTGAAAGCCAAGGTTTTCTTTTTTTTTTTTTATGACTTTTAATTTTTTTGTTATTTTGTTTGTTTCTTTGTTCATGTGAGTTTCTTCTTTTCTTATCATATTTTATTTCTTTGTTTTTTTTTTTTTTTTTTGTTTTATGGTTGGTTCATTTTTTGTTAATGAGTTTTTATTGGTGTTTTGATATTTTTGTCTTAGCATGCATAATGTCCGATTAATTGTGCATGCATGATGATTTTGTGTTTAGATTTTTTTTTTTTGTGCATGGTATTTTTTTTAAGCTTCATAGCTAAGGTCTTAATTACCACATCGGATTGGTAAAAGCCTTGAATTTGATGAATTTAATGTGCCTTTTTGTTTAAATGTTAATTTGGTTCACCAAGTTTTTTTCTTTTGGTTATTTATCTAGTTGATATTTTAGATTTATTTGAATTTAAAGTTTGAGCTTTTTTTATGTTTTTGGGTTTTAAATGGGGAAGACCAAGTTAGATCCTATTATTTTAAATTGAAATTTGATTTTTTTTCACCTCTAACAAGTGTTTCACTTGTTCTTTGTTTACAGTTTTATCTTTTTATTCCTAGAGAATTATGGAGTTAGGAAACTAGAAGCCATTTTTGCTGTTTTAATTGCAACTATGGCTTTATGATTTGCTTGGATGTTTGGTGATACAAAACCCAATGGAAGAGAACTACTAATAGGTAATTTTTTTACATAATAATCATTTTGCATGAAGTGATTTTATTTTTTAGTATAATTTTTTTTTCTATTGTTGTAGGTATTTTGGTTCCTAGACTTAGCTAAAAAATGATTAGGCAAGCTATGGGGGTTGTGGGTTGTGTCATAATGCCTCATATGTGTTCTTGCATTCCGCTTTGGTACAATTAAGAAAAATTGATCCCAAAAAGAGAGGTCGAGTTTAAGAGGCATTAAAGTACTACTCAATTGAATCATCTGTTGCGTTTTTGTTTCCTTCATAATCAATTTGGTTGTTACAATTATCTTTGCCAAATGATGTTTGCACTACCACCGCATAAGGTAAAGGCCTACCTATTCTTAATTTTATATTCATTTCTTATTTTGAAAAATTAAAAAAAATTATGGGTTATCTTTTTTGGACCACTAAAATTGTATACAATTATGAAATCTCATTTGTTCATGATTGTAGGTGAAAAGTGTTATTCCATTCTTAATAACATTGTTGTCACCTCGACTTAACTTTTGTTACTATTCAACTATTCCCTTTCTTACATTGCAGATGATAATAAATATAAAGGTAAAATTTACAAGGTTAATTTTTAATGAGAGGCTTTTTGAAGCTGTGCTACTTGAAGAAGCAAGGCTTCTTGAAAAACTAAGAAGCATGTTTGAAATTGAGGCTTATCAAATCGCATCAAAGATTCAATAAAATTTTGATGTAAAGCTTTTCAATCTACATTTTTAATCCTTGCCACTTGCTTGTGATTTTTTTTTGCATTGAAAATAAAATCTACACTTTTAATCTATTTGCACTTTATATGGCAGCTGAAGCTAGAAATTCATACTTCAAATTAGGTTACAACAACTTGAGAGTATTTGCTACAATCAACCACCTGCACTTCCAGATATCTAACATCCCAATTTGGTACTTCAAGTACTTTGTGCCATCATGATATCTGTTAGATATAGTTATATATAATTTGGAAAAAGAAGCAATGCTACAATGAAAAAGTAAAAGGATAATTGGGTTTTGAAAAAAAATAAATAAGAATAAGATGGAAGTTTAAAATAGAATGGAGGGAAGATTTGAGGTAAAAAGCAAAAGAAGAAAAAGGGTTGTTGTGACAGATATGTCAACCACAGTTTAAAAATGGGAAAGTAAAAGCTTTGCTTAAATTTTTAGTTTCCACTGGCTATCATTACTTCCCATGTGGTTGGTATGTCACTTTCTCCTCAATTGAAAATCATTTATATATATATATGTGTGTGTGTGTGTATACATGTATGTATATATTTCTTGATTTTTGAAAACCATATAAGATTTATGTGAGAAAGAAAGAATGTTGCTATGGAAAAAGAATGACGGGATCTATAAAGTATGAGGTATGTATCTTTACACAATGTAGTTTACTTTCCTATTTCTTGGCTTTTGTCTTTGAATTATATTGGTACTTAGTGGAGTTGAAATATCATTCAAGACGTTTGGCCTGCATGAAAAAAAAATACTAGCATGGAACATCTAAAGTCTTAAACATTAAGAAATGGTTATCAAGTATTTGAATCATTTT